AATCAGAATTAAGAACTTTTTAAAATTATACAATAATAATAATACTATAATAAAAGAAAACAAGTTAATAAAATATAATTTGAGATATGTAGATATTTTTTTTCTTTAATTGTTACATTTACCCCAAAGTTATTAAATTTGCAACATAATGACACAATTACACATAAATATTGAAATTGTTTTTATACAATTCTGTTTTTATTTTTCTTATAGAATATAAACTTTTAGATTAGTTAAATTTTTCATTGATTTCACTTCTTTTTTTTAACGTAATCGTTTGTATGCGAATATACTTACACAGCTATAATAATTATATATACATTTTAATGTACTATGTGTGATTTACATTTTATACAAATTATATAAAAATTATTGATTAATTTTCGTATATACGTTGTTTTTTATAATAAAAATATATTAATGATTATAAAGTCACACTTTGTTCTGTGCAAACATAACTCGATTGTACTTCATTATTGTCTTTTGATATGTTGATTACGATATCTTGATTGCAAATTAATTATAGTTATTTTAAAAGCAGGTGCTGTATAATTAAACAAATTCAAAATTATAAACAAAACTTCACATCTTACATTGTTTCTTTTAATTAATCAATTAGATTAACATTTGATTTATGCCAAATTCAACTTGTTTAAACATTTCTAAATGTCAGTTACCAGAAGTCTAGAATTTAAATAAAATAAATGTATAAAGACAAATTATTGTTATATGTATTTGATAAATCTAATATAAATCTAATATAAATGTTAGAATAAATTAAAAAATTAAAACATAAACATAACATGTGCACAGATATTTCAGGAAATATACGTATGTTGATCAATAATTCTGTTTTTCAAACAAAAATCAAAAACAAAATTTATATTTCAAAATCATATTTATATTTATATTTCAAATTCATATTTATTAATCAGTAATGTATTCACTCTCTTTCTCTGTTTTGCACAACTTTAAGTCACTTACGAACAACTTCATAATACCATTCTCAACCGGCTGTCTAGAAAATAGTAAATTAGTAGTCGAATTCACAACGGAAATGTCAGAACCTCTCGCAAATAGTTCACTCACTCACAGTGTCATCTTTGTACACAGCAGAAAATATTTTATAAATTCGTGGAGCGATTTTTTTCTTTGTGTAAATAAAACAGCATGACGTGCCGAAAATATTCTTATCTTCTCTCTC